GTCTCAGATTGGGGGCGACTAAATCTAGTCCAGTTTAATCCTCAGAAGTAACAAATTTGCGCGTTTACCGCTAAAAAGAACTCCTTTATCGTATCTCCTCAGTTTCAAGGCACTCCCCTTGTTGGCTTAGCCAGTATCGGAATTATCGGCGTCGACAAATCGAGTGACGTGCAATTTCGTAGTCACTTGGAAGACAAGGCCAAATTGGCCTCTAAAAAGCTCGGCGTGCTCAGCAGAACCGGACAGTATTTCATGCAGGTACACCGCCTGCAACTTTACAAGACGCAGGTTCGGCCTCACATGGAATACTGTTCCCATCTCTGGCTGGGGCTCCCCAGTGCCAGCTCATTTTAGTTGACCGCATCCAGCGCAGAGCAGCTCGAATTGTCGACGACCGAGTTCTTTCCCATCGGCTCGATTTTGTATTTTCTTTCGAATCTACCACGGGGAGTGCTCTTAGGAATTATTCGGATAAATCCCAGCCGCCAAATTTCACAATCGCACATCGTGGCAAAACTCCAGTTACGCTCCATACTATCTGAATGCTTGGCGGTCCACCACTGTACGTTTCTCTAGGAGTTTTCTTCCGCGATCTCTCTATGGAATAGTTTACCACCGACGATTTTTCTAGACCGATACGACTTAGATACCTTCAAGAAAAGACCTTACTCCTTTCTAAAAGGCCAACAACAGAACTTCATTTCCCCTGGTGTTGCAGTTGTTTATTGGCGGCGGTAGTCACTTACCATCAGGTGAGCCGTATGCTCGTTTGCCCCTCTCCTATAAAAAAAGATAGATTCATGCAAATAATCACAATTGATCTGTGGCTACCTGGCTACTGTATTACTAATACTATGTTAGAGTCACGCTACAGCTATATTCGGTTCAAAGATCTTTATTTCTCAATAAGACAATCGTCACTTACATGAGAATAATATTACTAATATAACATTATGGTATTAGCACGAATAGGTTCGACCGGGGTTGGACCTCGCTCTCACAGAATACCAGCGTAAAATTTTAGTTTAATGCTGCTGTTTTTCGTATGATGACTGTAGAGAACCGGAGACCGGTTTTACCGGAAACGAGACATTCTATCATAATTCCTCAGGGGTGACAACGCATCTGCATTTTGATTTTTAATCAACGATAAATGTAGATGTCTATGGACCACAGCATCCACTTACCATCAAGTGGACTATGTGCTCGTTTGTCATCCATATTCTATAAAAAAGCTCCCAATGTCCGGACATGTGCGTTAAAGTTTGAGTTGAGTCATAAAGATTTTTAGTTCATTAAGACTACTAGAAAAGCTGTCGTTTGGTGCAAAATTATGAAAATACCATCTCTTTTGAAGTTCTAAAATCAGCTATAATAGTATGAGTTTTACAAGAGTTTATCCTCAAAACGCTAAGCGTTAAAATACCTCATACTAATCATTCAAATAGACTATTACACATAGTTGCGCTTTACACTTCAGAACACAGATATTTTCTTTCTTTTGAGAGAATACATAATATTGACTGCGAGTATATCTATTATCAAAAAATATATCTAAATCCATTTAAATGCTGTGTTTTTTCTACTATCTTGTATTGTCGTCTAGAATTAGCTATCAGGCTGCTATCCAGGCATCCTTTTCAGCTCGTAATAAATTATGAACGTGCCGTGGTAGCTCGGGGGATAAGCGGTTGCCTTTAAATTTTATAATACGCGAGCAAATCGAGTTCGACCCTGACCGGATCTCATGAAACAGTTAATTGCTATTTTAAGTGCTAATTTATATGTTATAGGCAGTGAAGGAAATCATAGGGAAGAAACTTGTGTTAAGTGTTATTAATATTTTATTTATTATAAATATTTGGAAGATATCAATTAGGACAATACATTTAAACAGCTCGGCGGAACATAAATTTCCTGCTACATAAATCCTCTTAGTAAATGGAGGAGGCATATGACTGTGGCCATATAGAGGCTTGTTATTTTTATTAAACAGTAACTAAATAAAAAAACAAAAACAACTAACAAAAATCTAAAGAGAACCAACGAACGTTTAGGTAAAAATTACTGGTGAATGCTGGTAAAATCATTTAGACACGCAGACTGTGTAGACCTTATTACTGGATACGAGGCATCCCATCTAAGTCCTCAAAGGGGACAACGCATCTGCATTTTGAATCTTAATCGAGGTTAAATACGATGCCACAATATCCACTTACCATCAGGTGGATTGTGTGCTTCTTTATGACCCTTATTATTTAAAAAAAGACAAACGAAATACCGGTAAAATCACAGTCAATAAAAACCGAACACCAATCCTAACTTAAGTCAATATAAGGTAAGAATATTTTCGTGGATTGGTTCCTTTTTGCGTAACTACGGGAAATATATTTTTTTTTATCTAGCCATTCTAACATATAAGTCGTCACATAAACTATTGCCAATTTAAGTCTTAAACTCGATAATTTGCATTAAGTTTAACTCCTATACGACAATAGAGTATAGTATATTTCATACCGATTTTAAATTGTATACGAAAAGACGTGTATACAATCAAAGAACTAATTATATCGTCTTAAAAACAACAAATTGTTTAAATTTGTTTTTCAACTCCTTAATTGTATCACGAAAAGCAAAAAAAAGTACTTTAAGATCATGTATTCAGTTAAGGAACATAAAGCAACACGAAACATATTTGTAGTCAGGCGGGCCAACATCTTGCGACCGGTGACAAAGGGATTACACCCTCCTCCGGATCTCCCTCGAATGCTACTGTCTGCGGTTTCTTAATTAACCCCTAAATACCTTGTATGCGCCACACTGCCTCGTGCGGTATGTAAGATTATTGCCAACCTTACCCCGCTTAATTTTAATGTACGCTATTATTGAAACAAATAGAACGTTTCGTCTCGTCGAGCTCATTAGCTTTATTGCATGTTTGCTCATACTCATCGCGTAACTTTCAGACTTATTAAATGTCTACGTTTCATATCTTCATTTAATTGGCGAATGGCGATAGACACAAACAAAACGCTCTGTATCGCTAGACTTTCTGACACAAATGATGGATGCGGTCAACTTTGTTTTCCTTAATTCTACTAAGTGTTCGGGTGCACACATCTTCCTGTTAGGTGCTATTTGTATGTTTGTTTTCTAAATATATAGTGATAATATTTTATGAATTATTTAATTATCATTATACATAATCATCATCATCATTACAGCCCTTCACAAGTCCACTGCTGAACATAGGCCTTCCCCAAGGAATGCCACAAAGCACGGTCCTGAGCCACCTGCATCCATCGACTTCCTGCATGTCTTACCAGGTCGACACTCCATCTAGTGGGGTGACGCCCTACAGTTCGTCTACCGGTACGAAGTTGCCACTCGAGAACCTTTCTTCCCCATCGGTTGTCGGTTCCTCGAGCTGTATGGCTGGCCCATTGCCACTTCAGCTTACTAATCCGTTGGGCTATGTCGGTCACTCTGGTTCTACTGCGGATATCCTCATTTCTAAGTTTATCACGCAGAGAAACTCCGAGCATAGCCCTCTCTATAGCTCGCTGAGCGACCTTGAGCTTCTTCATCCGGCCAGCAGTGAAGTACGGCGTCTCAGTTCCATAGGTCAGCAGATATAATAATAATAATAATAAACCTTTTATTTCCCATTACTTGTACTTATATTTTAAACATGCATATATTAAAATATTATTTTTTCCATCATTATAATAACTACGAAAAATTTTAATTTCCGTGGTATTCGCAATTTTCGCCACAAAGTGTATCGGATTTAAATTCAAATAGCTAGTTCCAAATTTGAAATGTCAGTAGTGTCAGTAACCCTGAGACAGGATTTAATCAATAACCATATTTGTCGACTAAGAAAAGCACGGTTAAAAGGGTGCGTTATGGTTGGTAATGCACGATTTACATCAGTTGAGTTAGGGGCAACGGTGTAGAAAATGGAGCATCGTGCTCAGAACTAATACGATCAGGTGAGCAAACACGTAACGTGGAGCTTTCATCTTCAGTTGGGTATCTGTTAGTAATGCGCTGCTTCACATACACAGATGCAGGCTAACGTAAACAGTAGAATAATACGCACTAGTGTGCATACTTAAAACAATTTATTAAATATTCAAGTGAAATAAAAATGAATCATGTGTGTAAACAACCATATGTCTTCGCGTTAAAATATGAAGTCAATTACTAAAATGCTTTTTATTACATACTCAGAATATTAAAATAATATTTCAGATCAAATAAAAAAAATACTTTTAAATTTAGAACAAACTATCGGCTAACTTTCATTACAGTCCCGGAATATACTTTGATACGTAAACACGCGGGGGCGGGCGAACTATTCGCAATGCAAGTTTATTCTCCAAACAACGCGGTGTACGCGAACCCTCGCCAAGTAGTGCGTCGCATCTCCTTTCCGACTGGCTCCGTTCGCTGAATGGCAAAATGTTTACCGAGTCAAACGGACAACTCAGCTGTCCAAGCTCCTAGCACTAACCCTAACTACAACACAACAACGCTACTACCTTATTGAGTTTTTCTGCCAGCCTTAATACTTTGCAACTCGCTGACGCACCTTTTATTGCTTACGCTGACACGTACGCGCAGAGGATACAAAAGGAACCAATTTGGCAAGCCGAAGACAAACGTATTTAAAATGGGCAAAGTGGAACAGCAGTCATCTATCTTGGAGCTTGACAAACGACGACATTATTCCTTATCGCCCACTCAATTTGTTTAAAAGCGTTCTGCTTTGATAATTTGAAAATTACAAATCGTATCCCCTGACACAAAAATGTTCTTATAACAGCGAAATCTCGCCAGCTACTAGATAAGATGAAGGCGAAAAAAAATTGCCTCGATTTATCTAAATTTAATATCTTTTATATTCCCCTTTGTCACAGGCGTAAAATTTATATAGTAATACGTAAGCTGTTGATAATATCGATATTCTGAAAATATGTTTCTCTTTTCCAGTCATGGAAGAGCCCGAGTTCACTGATGTTATACAAAACGTGACAGTGCCCGCCGGTAGGAGCGTGCGTCTTGCCTGCTCTGTTAAAAATCTTGGATCTTACAAGGTAATTACATTTTGCATTTGTTTTTATTGATATTTTAAGTTTATCTAACCTTTATTATTTTCTTTCTTACTTTGTCTTTACATGAACACAAAATAATTAGTAATGAACGCAAAAATGTCATTGTATTTAAAAAAATATACGAGTACTAGCTGTGCCGCGCGGTTTCACCCGCGTATATCACGCGTCTGCGCCTTGTCACATGCGAACTTCGAGAAAGACATCACGACGGACGGTTGCTGAATTAACAAAGATTTAAAAAGTGAAATATGTTACTAAAATTACATGTTTAACGTAATTGGTGGTCATGCATGATACAGGTACAAAGGTAAAAAGTAGTTATTGTGACATAACTGTAATAGTTAAACATATGGTATGGCAGACTTTTTTGTAGATATTGATATCCTCTATAAAACTGAAGTACATTACTTTCCTCTATTATCAATAGTTTCTAATAAGGATTCTTTTTGGAATTTTTTTCACACCTTGGGTTACATTAACGAAGTTTTCATACGGATACCTAACTTTTTTGAAAATATTATATAGCCTATGTTCATCAGAGATAATGTAGGATTCTAATGGTGAAAGAATTTTTCACATCGGTCCAGTAGTTTCGGAGCCTATTCAATTCAAACAAACAAACAAATCTTTCCTCTTTATAATAATAGTGTAGATAACATACAATACTATATGCAAGATGACAGAAAATAAACAACAGTTGTGGTTGAGTTGTGAAATTTTTTGATTTATTAAAAGGAATATAAGTAAATCTAAAAGTATTTATAATAGCTTGCTTATAAATACTCTATGTATTAAATAGTTTTAATTAATTTTATATAACAAAAAAGGACTATGTTACAGTCTACACTACGACACGTATCAGATTTTTTTGTATTACAGGTTACATAGATCGATACAACACTAGCTAAATAACAAACACAACTTTTTATACGACTACGAATGGAGCCGTCATTGGTTCCGTGGCGCAGTGGCTTAGCAATGAGTTACGTTGGTGAGGGTTGAGTTAAGGGTTCGAATCCCTTATAGAACAAATATTTGTATGGTCTTTGTGTAATTTATGTATGTAAACTGCCTCTACGATACAGAAGAAAATCTGTATCGTAAAGGTTATATTCATTAAGTAAAGTCAAATAAAGTTACTGCCTATATACATACAATTACTAGGCCCAGGCCTCTTCTGTTTTCTGAGGGTATTCAAGCAATGGTGAGTTCGCTGCAAGCCCTATGCGTATTAGCGACCTTCACATGCAGGTTTCCTCAGATGTTTTTCTTTGTCGCGGCAAATGGTAAATCAGTATTCAACAATGAAATAAAGATTAATGTGAAGAAAATATTTATTTATACACTTAAAATTTGTGAATAAATGGAGATTGCCTAATGGTAACTCAATTTCCTTAAATATTAGTTTTATTAACCAATCATATAAATACTTATATAAGCTACTCTAGTTCAATCTCAAGATACGAAACAATAGTGATAATATGTGAGTAATACTGAAAGAAATCATAAAATACGAAGCATTTTATCATTTGATTTAGAACGCTCCGTCGTAATAAAGTGTCCAATGGAAGCAGATTTGATTTACAACCCATACGCTGAGTTTGCACCTCGCTTTGGCTGTCGAGAAGACTTAAAAACTTTTTAAATATTCTTGTAAATGTTCTTATTTGCCCTGCGACATGATTACCTTATATCCAGATGTTATATTTATATCCACTATGATATAATTATTTTCTGTACGGTGGCGGCATAAAAGAATTCACCATTACATTTTCATCCAAAAAAAATAATTTTATGGTCTCCGAAGATCATCTATTGTAAATGAGATATAAAATACCCAAATCGGCGACGGGACAAGAACAAAGGTGAGAGGCATCTGATACTGCGATCGACAGTCCGCCCGTCAACGTCAATCACTTCAGTTTTGCGAAATCCTCCCTACAATTAAAGATACACATGTCCAGCTGTAAACTGTCTAGCTAAGGATATAATTATTTAAAAATTAATTATTAGACAAAGATTAATTATTGGCTAAAATTTAGAAAAAAATAAATGAAAAGTTCCGATGAGAAATGTATGCTTAAAGAAATTTAATACACGTTATACTTCCAATACTTTTCCCCCAATTCCTATTGAAAAATAACTTGCGACAGAAAGCCCTGCTCTTCAATACGTTATGGTAACAAAATAAACTTCTAGGTACAACTTACTTATCTATTAAATTAATTAAAATTACAGATTGACAAATAAAAACAAAACGGTGTACCTTTAGTTGTTAAGTAAAGTTTTCGTAATCTTGAACGCGAGTACGTCACGTCAACCGCAGAGTACGCTTCGAACTTGCTTTTCGCACAATCACAACGACTTGACGTTTTTGTGTGTTCAGCCCGCGAGAGGGAGATGTAGTCGGTAAACCTGCATTTCCTAAATTGTGTCCCAAGCGACACAGTGTCTGCAAAGATCGTACATTACCTACAACAGTGGGATGTTCCACCGTAAACTCACTAACCAGTTACCGCTCGCTTCAGCTGGCCAGCCCCCGGCCAGTACAAACACTCCTGTGTTTGGGGACCCCTGCTCCATTTTAAAGACTGCTTCAAGCGTGACTTGACCTCATTCAACATTGAGCATGGTAAGCGGAAAAAGAAGATGGAGGACCGGATTTAGTGGAGCACGCGGGGCAGAAAATTAACAACAGACCCTGTTTCGATAAACTAGCTGAAAAAAGAGTGAAACAGCACAAAACCTACAATACTTCATCCGTCGTGATACACACAGGTGTACGCACTTGCCGCTCTAAATCGGTATTTATAGTCACCAAAAGAAGTGTCACTAGCCGCACACTGGTTATATGGTCTGCAATAGCTATAGATTTAATAGTTTATTGTGGCAATATATTTAAAGGTATTAAAAATCAAATTCATTTTTCGAATACTGCTTGTAGTTTTTTCAAAGTGTGCCATTCATGATAACCTCTGGTGTCATTATTCCTAAGTACTTTGTGCAATCTAATTGTTTTATTGCAGGACATTGGTACATTGGAAGTCGGTCGAATCGCTTCTGCAATTATGAACTTACAAGTTATTTTTTTTACGTTAATTATTTTTTTTAATATGTATGTGATTAATTTTTTGCCGTGTAGTGGCGGTAAAGAATATCCACTACCCCATATCTCCCCGTGGGTGTCGTAAAAGGCGACAAAGGGAAACAGGCAGGAGATGGGCAGCAGCATCTTCCTGATAACAGCAAAAATACAATAAAAAAACTACGGTTGCCAACCCGCTCGCCAAGCGTGGCAACTATGGCAAATACCCTCCAAATGGATAAAGTTACTAAGAGACGGCCCCCAGTCCCCGGCGGCCCCACTATTCCTGGCTACGGTGGCAAACATGGTAACGGCGGGGCAGGGTGTGCTAAGAATCTCCGGTGGAGGTTCGGTTGCCACCTACGACGACTCGACCTGGCAACATACACCGCACGCACCCTGAGGACTGACGAGAAGATTGTGGAGCTGAAGGAAGAGATAGACAAGTTACGCTGGCATATTATAGGATTATCCGAAGTTCGAAGAGAGGGGGAGGAAACGGTAATCCTCGAATCCGGCAACTTGCTCTATTATCGGGTGGGCGACCATCTGTCCCAAGGAGGTGTCGGATTTATCGTCCACAAGTCTCTCGTTAACAACGTTGTAAAGATTGAGAGTGTGTCGACGAGGGTTGCGTACCTTATACTCAGAATCACCGAACGGTATTCGCTGAAGGTCATACAGGTTTACGCACCAACCTTGGCACATCCCGATGAGGAGGTGGAGAAATTACGGCACATCTTTTCGTCAGGTATACCTCAAAACTTGAAAACGAGACTGTACAACCAGTGCGTGTTGCCAGTGATGACATACGGAACTGAGACGAGTTCCTTCATTGTTGGCCGGATGAGGAAGCTCAAGGTCGATCAGCGAGCTATGGAGAGGGCTATGCTCGGAGTTTCTCTGCGTGATAAACTCAGAAATGAGGATATCCGCAGTAGAACCAGAGTGACCGACATAGCCCAACGGATTAGTAAGCTGAAGTGGCAATGGGCCGGCCATATAGCTCGAAGAACCGACAACCGATGGGGAAGAAAGGTTCTCGAGTGGCAGCCTCGTACCGGCAGGCGAAGTGTTGGGCGTCCCCCCACTAGATGGAGTGACGACCTGGTAAGACATGCAGGAAGTCGATGGATGCAGGTGGCTCAGGACCGTGCTTTGTGGCATTCCTTGGGGGAGGCCTATGTTCAGCAGTGGACTTGTGAAGGGCTGTAATGATGATGATGATGATGATTAATTTTTGAAGTGTCTTGTAGTCTTTGAAGTAAGTAAATAAATGGAACTCAAGTATATAAAATAATAATACTAATCCGTTGGGCTATGTCGGTTACTCTGGTTCTACTGCGGATATCCTCATTCCTAAGTTTATCACGCAGAGAAACTCCGAGCATAGCCCTCTCCATAGCTCGCTGAGCGACCTTGAACTTCCTCATACGGCCAGTAGTGAAGGACCACGTCTCAGTTCCGTACGTCATCACTGGCAACACGCACTGGTTGTACAATTTCGTTTTCAGGTTTTGAGGTATGTCTGACGAGAAGATGTGTCGTAGCTTCCCGAACGCTGCCCAGCCGAGTTGAATCCGTCGAATGACCTCTCGATCGAAGTTGGACTTACCTAGTCGGACTATTTGTCCCAGGTAAACATACTCGTCAACAACTTCGTGCTTAGTGCTCCCAACAACTACCGGCATATGTGTGATATGGACATTGAACATGATCTTTGTTTTGTCCATGTTCATCTTAAGACCTGTCCGTTGGGAAACACTATCGAGGTCATTGATCATAGTGCTTAGGTCCTCCAGCGATTCTGCCATAAGGACTATATCGTCGGCAAATCGAAGGTGAGTGATGTACTCGCCATTGATGTTGATACCGTATCCTTTCCAGTCCAGAAGCT